GAGGGCGGGAGGGAGAAAGAGACAGAGACACACACAGAGAGAAAGAGTGACACACACACACAGACACACACACACAAACAGACAGAGAGAGAGACACAGAGAGAGACAGAGAGAGGGAGAGACTGAGAGAGAAATAGACACACACATACAGAGAGAGAAAGAGAGACAGAGACACACAGAGAAAGACCAACAGGAGAGACAGAGACAGAGAGAAAGAGACACACACACAGAGAGACAGAGAGAGAAAGAGACACACACAGAGAGAGACAGAGAGAGAAAGAGAGGGCGGGAGGGAGAAAGAGACAGAGACACACACAGAGAGAAAGAGTGACACACACACACAGACACACACACACAAACAGACAGAGAGAGAGACACAGAGAGAGACAGAGAGAGGGAGAGACTGAGAGAGAAATAGACACACACATACAGAGAGAGAAAGAGAGACAGAGACACACAGAGAAAGACCAACAGAGAGAAAGACGACAGAGAGAGAGACACAGAGAGAAAGAGCACCAGCTGCATGGCTCTGCTGTCAATTTCTGGAGGACCCTAGTCCAACCAGGTCATCTAGTCCAACCCTTCGCCCAACAGCAACAGTAACCCGGTTGTTAAGTGAATCTGGCTTCCCCATTGACCTTGCTTGTCAGAAGGTCGCAAAAGGGGATCACGTAACCATGGGACAGTGCAACCGTCATAAGAACGAGCCAGTTGCCAAGCATCCAAATACTGATCATGTGACCATAGGGATACTGCAACGGTCATAAGTGTGGAAAAAACAGTCATAAGTCACTTTTTTCGGCGCTGTTGTACTTTGAACAGTCGCTAAATGAACTGTTGTAAAACGAGGACTACCTCTATTCTGCACAGCTGCACTGGTTAATCTTGGCTTAGTATATTTGGAGTCTACTGGTATTCATTGTTCAAAAATCTAAATGCATGACCATCTTGTATTTTATTTTTTTCCAGGTATTCTCGACCAAACCTATATTAAACAAGTAAGGGTTTGTTTGTTTGTTTTTTAAAGTAAAATGCATTCATTTTGGATTTCACACAGTGGCCCCCAACCTTTTGGGCACCAGGGACCGGTTCTGTGGAGAGAAATTTTTTTCGTGGGCTGGAGGGGCCGTGGTTTCACATGTTGCTGCTCTGACCTAGCTCCCAAACATGACAAACCCTTTGAAGTTAAACAATAATTCCTTTATTAGGAGCCCTGACAAAAAAAGTTCCTCTCACACAGCAGCAGGCTAACTGTCATGCCCTTGTTAGAGTCGGACTCTGAGGGAGAGGAGGAATAGCCGTCAGGGAGTGGAGGTGTAGCTCCGGAGGTTGTGGAGGAGGCTGGGGAAGGGCAGTGGCCGGCTGGGCAGTCAGAGGAAGAACCAGGCCCATCCCCTCTGCATCTAGGACATGCAGAGAAGGAAACAACTTGGCATATGAGAGAGGAAGCGGCCATGATCCCCCTCATTGGTTGCAGCTGGAGAGAATAGTATATAAGAGAGACGGTTAAAGCACAGTGTTGCCAGAAGCAAAGCGTGTTTTATTTTGGGTTGAAGTCATCTTGGTTGGCGTCCTTCCAACAGACTGTGCCTTGTTATCTCCTTGAATTTGGTTATTACTTATCCTGGCCCCTTGTGGAATTTCCTTCATTGTGGTTTGTTTGGTTTTTTTATTTCACCTTTATCTGCTCATTAAGTTCGGACTGTGTTGCTTTCTTTTGAAGACTATTTTTGAATAAGTTTTATCTCCAACTGAGAATTATTGAACAGTGGGGCCAAGTTGGAGGCATTAAAGGACATTTATTTACATTTTGGATTTTGTTACGTTTGGGTTACACTCCAGATCATCACACTAACAAGTGTGGGATCCAGATTTCAACTCTAGGAAATCCATCGCTAATTTAAATATATATATATATATATATGAATCCCTGAAAAATCCAGTTGTCCTTTGCAAAAAATGGAATTCGGCTGAGTTCACACATCATCATCTTCTTCTTCCTAGTATATTCCTACAGGTGCAGGGTCTGCTTTTTGGATCATGGAACTCCACTTTGCGTGGTCAGCTATGTCTCCATGGCGCAGGCCTGCAGCTTGCATATCTTTGTTGATAATGTCTTGCCATCTCTGTTTTGAATGCCCGCGAGGCAGGGGTAGGATGCTGCCGGTATAACAACTGGTTCAGTGATCACACGCTTTGTCTGTGCACGCACCTGATGCATGCTTTGCACATGCGTGAACATCAGTGCAAAAATCCTTACCTGCTATGGGGAAGCAACACAGCTGAGGAGCGGCAGTCTGCTCTTCCACGCTGATCAGCTGGGACGATAAAGGTCAGTACAGTGCAGGGGTAAACAGGCGGGGCCAGCTGATCGTTGGAGCGAACCAGTTTTCTCCCAGCTGGTCTTCGGAGCTAGGGGTTCACCCGAACCGGTCCAAACCGGCAGAATCCCACCCCTGCTGCGAGGTCGCTGGCCATTGACTTCTAGTTGGTAGGCAGTCTTGGCCATGGTGTAAAGTGTTGCTCTCAGGACATGTCCACGCCAGCGGAGTTGGCCTTCTCTCATCTAATTGGTGCCACACCAAAACGTTGTTGAATGGTGTCATTTGTGATGTGGTCAAGAAGGGAGATGCCCGATGTCCAACCGAGCATTTGCATTTCCATGGCATGCAGAGAGCTTTGGGTCCCTGTTATTGCTGCCCAGCATTCAGTACCATACACTGCAACAGGGTGGATGCTTGTCTTGAAAATCTTAGATTTAAGACGGGTTGGCATTCTCCTGTCACGTAACACACCGGCTGAATTTGGTAACTTTGTGATTTATGGCATCACGTTTATTGCCCAAATAATTGTCAGACAAACGCAGACACCGTCATGAATCTGATTTTTATTCTCTTCCAGTCAGGTTGGACTGAAAATTTGATCCACTCCTGGATTTCATTATTGGTTTCTGTGTGTGTGTTTTCTTTTATCAGGATCACCATTTATACCACTTTGATGAGTAATGCAGATCCAGACAAGTATCAGACTTTTATCTGGACCCCAGAGTGAAAATCTGTAAGTCCTGAGCATTGTGATGCTAATGGCCATTTGTTGACTCTTGGAAGTTTTATTCCAATTCTACTTTCATGTCTTCTAAAAATATTAAGGCCTCCATCCTCATTTCTTTGATTCCCTAAAAAAACAGCGAAAGAAAAGAGACCCGTTGGTAGACTGTGTAGCGGAAGAGCAGGCAGAACTAGGGGTGGAATTAAGTGAGTCATCAAAATAGAAACATTATGTTGCCACAAACGGTCTAAGTGCAACCTCTCTTGAATTCCGCCAACCTTTATCGGGTGTGGGATGGACTTTTCTAGAGTTGTTGATAGAAGGCTTTCTTTTAATGTACAGGAAAAAACTACATTTTGAATTCAGCAAACTTTAATAAGTTTTATGTTAGCCACTTACAGACTTTTTAAAAAATTATGGTGGGTAGCATGATATCAAATAAATGAATAAAAATTAGAGATAAAAGGAGTATAATGCCAGTAAGTGACATGGCTGATTTTTTTTTTACAAATAAACCTTAAAATGTTTTTAAAATATTCATTTTCTCTCTTTTCTTTTTCTCTCTTGAACCAGAAAATGAAGGAATGAAAATCTTTGAAAACGCAAAGGCAGGGGCTGTGTTTATTAATTGCATATGCACAATAATTAACTGGTGTATAGTATTCTCTTCGGAACTAGCAGTTTTAAAGAAATTACTGCCTTCCAGTCCTTAGTATGTGGGCAATGGATATTGAAATAATAGGCATGGGATAAGAGCCAGCTTCCCAGTCTTAGAGACAATATCTCTATCCCTGCTGTTTTTGATTAAACATCATGTCCTATGGGCTATTTTAGCCATTATTGCAAAAATCAAGCTTCCCTGTGGCTGTATAACATTGCTGTGCCTGATTAGATGCATTTTTATTTGATCTTCCTGAGAAAATGTATTGAAACCATAAGATATTTGTGGATCATATCAAGACTTGGATGGACTTCCTTGGATCTACGTATCTGGCCAACAGCAAGACATCCTTGTTAGATATTTACGGTGACTCTACTCTCCTATCTTGTATGGAAAAGTCTGGAAAAAATGAGTTTGGACAATCTGTTAATTTCTATGATGGACAAGGTGCTCCCTGTATCTCCAGCTTTGCAGAATGGGTCTTAAAAAGGTGGGCCCTTGGTGCTCTCTTTTGGAAAGCATCTCTGGGTGCAACAAAAATCAGATGGGTTTAATTCTTGGGCGGGAAGCCATCAGCATATTCCAGGCTGTACACTAGAGCAAGGAAGTTAAAATAATATTACGGAGGAATTCCTAGAAGCTACAGTCGGTGCAGAATGTGGCGGCACAGGTATTTATGGGTGTAACTGGGTACACCCAGGTCATGTCTTTGCTTTATGAGTTCCGCTGGCTTCTGGTTGCTGATTGTCACCTGTAAACCCTTCACGCACGAGGCTGCGATATCTGAGAGTCTGCTTTTCTGTTTGTCTCTGTGTCCTGTCCATTAAAAACTGTCCTCTTCTGAGACCCAGGAAGAATGCCTTTCTATCGCTATATCCACCCGTTGGAACCCAAGATTAGGCTGGCCCCGACCCCAGTAGCCTTTCAAACAACCCTGGAGAATTGCCTCTTTTCCCCAAACGTGGAAGCTGGAGTTAGAAAGGTTTTAACTGTTTGAGTCTTGTTATTATACACCTCTGTCTGACTTCGTATCCTTTTGCTTGTCCTCGAAAGTGTCCTGCACACATTCCTTCTGATTGGACAGAAGTGTAGGAATCCAGGAAGGCTGAAGATTGGAGACCACATGGGGAATTAGATCTCAGCATTCATACAGTTTGGTCTAAGGGTTAAGGCACCGGGTAGAAACCAGGAGACCGTGAGTTCTAGTCCTGCCTTAGCCATGAAAGCCAACTGGGTGATTTTGGGCCAATCAAACAGGAGATGGTGACTTCTAGGCCCACCTTAAGCATGAAAGCCAGCTAAGTGACTTTGGGCCAACCACTCTCTCTCTCTCTCTCAGCCCAACCAACCTCACAGGGTTGTTGTTATGGGGAAAATAGGAGGAGGAAGGTGCATTTAGATATGTTCACTGCCTTGAGTTATTTGTAAACATAATAAAGGTGGGAGATACAGCGAGAGAGAAAGAGAGAGAGGAGAAAGAGAGAGTATAGAATAATAGAGTTGGAAGGGACCTTGGAGGTCTTCTAGTCGAACCCTCTGCCTAGGCAGGAAACCCTACACCACTTCAGACAAACAGAGACAGAGACAGAGACACACACACACACAGAGAGACAGATGATAGAGAAAGATACACACACTTAAAAAGACATCCCTACAATTATTGTCTTCCAGAACTGCTCACTGCAGCTGATGGATGGCCTACTTAAGCAAATTCCCTACATTATGTGTCATCTTTTACCTCAGGAGGTAATGCATATGGATAAGATGTAAGTCATATTACAGGTTGAAGAAGTACAGTAGGCATTTAACAAAGCCAATTATAACATCCATGCATTCTCTTAGACTTGGCTCTAATCCAGCGGAGGACGTTTGTTGAATTATAAAAGCTTTGTAATCCTGTTTTCGTTCCACTGCTTTCTAGGTCGATATTTTACACTAGTTCAGATTTGCTGATACAACCCACACCTGATATAATCACTAATGACGATCCTCTGAATTAAACTCATACATGATACTTCAGTCATCTCCTTCCTCTCATAAATATACTACTATAATTGGTTATGACAGAATGAGCGATGTAAGCAGATAATTGGAAATGATGTAATAAATCTAACAAAAAATATATATGATGAGATCGATGTTTTCCAAGGAAATAAACTTGACTGATGAGAGTTGCATGGAAATTGCACGATAGAGGTAATCCTCAGCTTGCAACTGCCTTAAAGTTACCATGTGTGATCACAATGGCGCTGAAAAAAGTCAGCGTCAGGAAGCCATATTCATTTAACAACCATGTTCCTAACTTAATAACTGCAGTGAGTCACTTAATAATTGTTTCAAGAAAGATCATAAAAATGGGGCAAAACTAATTTAATGATTTTCTTGCTTAGCCCCAAGGTGCTTTTTTTTCAAGAGGCAACTGGACTTTCTGGTTTGTTTTTTCTTTTGAAGACATTTAGCTTCTCATCCAAGAAGCTTCTTCAGCTCTGACAGGAGGTTGGGGAAAAGAAGGATTTGTACTCCTTGCAGACAGCTGGTCATTTGCATCCTTTCAGAGGGTCATTGAGGCCACTTGGAGGTTTGTCTGTGTCCTCAGCGTCACTTGAGTAGAGGTCCTGGTTCCTGTAGTTTGCCATTTTTCCTCTGGAAATCCATTCCTACTCCCACATCATTCAAAGGGCGCTCATCCCAAATTGTGTAGCTAAAAGTCTGTAGAGATTCTCAGCCAACAATGCAACAACCATGCCCTGGATGTCTGAGAATCTCTACAGACTTTCAGCAATGGGGCTATTTTAAAGATGGAAAGATCTAGTCCAACCCCCCACTCAAGCGGGAGACCCTACACCATTTCTGACAAATGGCAGTCCAATCTCCTCTCGAAAGTCTCAACTGATGGTGCTCCCACAACTTCCGAGGGCAACTTCTGTTCCATTGGTTGATTGTTCTCACTGTCAGAAAGTTTCTCCTTGTTTCCAGGTTAAATCTCTCCTTGTTCAGTTTCCATCCATTATTCCTTGTCTGGCCTACAGGAGCTTTAGAAAATAGCTTGACCCCTTCCTCCCTGTGGCAGCCCCTCAAATATTGGAAGACTGCTATCATGTCTCCCCTGGTCCTTCTCTTTACTATACTAGCCAAGCCCAGTTCCTGCAACCGTTCGTTGTATGTTTTAGCCTCCAGTCCCCTAATCATCCTGGTTGCTCTACTCTGTACTTTTTCTAGAGTCTCAACATCTTTTTTATAGTGTGGTGACCAAAACTGGATGCAGTACTCTAGGTGTGGTCTTGCTAAGATTTAAATGACTAAAATCAATCGGGTGGTTGTTTAAAAGTGTTTAAAATGGCATCACTTTTAGAAGAACTGAAAATGGAACTTAAAAAACAGAAAGAAGATGCACAAGAAGGAAGAGGTTATTTTGGCTTTTCAATTTTTAGAAATGGAGATCTGAAACTATGAGAAACAACAAGAAGCGCTTGTAGAACAAGAAGATCGGGACAAAGAAGAAGCCATCTTTAATGATCAAGTAACTTTATGTGTGGGGAAAAAAGGAAAGGGGGGAAAGAGAGTGAAAAGTTTAAGATTTGAAAAAACAACCTAAAAAGAAAAGTTTGAAAAATAATTGCAATATTAGGAAGCAACAGAAGAGAGGATTACAGAAGAGAGAATTAGAAGTAGAGAGACAAGGGGGCAAAAAGGGGAGGGAGAAGAAGAGGGGGAAGAAGGAAAGGAAAAGAAGTTATAAAAGATAGAAACAAGATATAGAGAAACAGGGAAAATGTTTAAGAATTGAAAGTATAAGCCTATTTAGAGATAATGGGTGAAAATTTAATTGAAAAAGGGATTCTGCAAAGGTACATAAGATAGTATTGTTATATTAGAAATAGAAATAATTTTAGAAAATATGAAACAATGTATGATTAAAATGATGGATAAAATACTTATGGGAATGCAGTGGAATGTTTGTCAATAAATAAATGAAATAAAGAGAATGAGAGAATGAAAGTGAAGAGAAATATGAAAAAAAAGAATTAATTATGGAAAGTTTATAAGTGTTCCCAAGGAAGTATGATATTCAATTGAAAAGAATTGTTAAAGACGTTAAGATTCTAACTAATATTAATGATAGAGTTGAATTGGATAGAATTGAATTGGAATGGAATGAGTGTTTTATTTAATATGTATGTATGTATGTATGTGTATATATGAACATATATATGAACATAGTGTGTATTTTAAGAATGTACCAAGCAGAATTTGACTGGAAGTTATGTACTATATTGAATGTTATAATTTTAAAGGCATAACTTGAAGTTTAAATAAGAGTTGAATGGATAAAATTAAAAGATATAAAGGTGTCATACTCCAATTAGTAACTACAGGGGAAAATTTGCTTAATAAGAAAAGATAATATGAAATTGAAACAGGACAGACAAAAGTATAAATATAACGACTGGAAAGACATTGAAACTTAGAAAAAGATATATAATTGAATTTAGCTATGAGATAATTAAAAATAAAGTTGAGAAAACCAAGGGAGGGGGAAATTATGGAGGAAATGTTAAAATAGTAATAAGATATGAAATGGAACACAAAGATGAATATGAAATTGAGTTTGTGTCTGTTTGGAGAAGTGATAATCCGGGATCATGCTATTCTCAAAAAAAGATGTTTTATTTGTGTTATGTTTTTGTGAAAACTCAAATAAAATTTATATTCAAAAAAAAGGTTCGCCATCACTGCTATATATGTTGATAGCAGCAAAACTATTGTTATGTGTAAAAATGGAAGGACACTTCAGTTCCTACTATGGAAGAATGGTTGCAGAAGTTTAATGGAGTTGGCTAAAAAGGCAAAATTGACTATTTTGATTAAAGAAAAGAACACAAGTACTTTTTTTTTTCCACATGGAAACCACTTTTGAACTTTGTGCTTGATGTGAAAAAGAATTAAAATTTGACTTTGGTTTTTATAGATTTGATTGACAGATTTTTATACAAAAGACTTGTTCATACTACTATGGAAAAACATGTTAATGCCTTATTCTACTGTAACAGAAGTCAATGCTTCTTTTTCTTTCCCTATCCTTTCTCATTTTTCTTCCCCCTTTTCCTTTCCCCCTCATTGTCCTGTTCTTTGCTTTTGTATTTTACGATACCTTATAACTTAATAAAAATGTGAAATAAAAAAAGAAGAAGGGTGCCAACATTGTGCTGTAATTTGTACAGTGACTCATTTTTTGTCTTTGAAATGTAACAGATCAAAAGAATACACACTGTGGTTGTGCTTTGGCCCTTAGCCATCTCAAACCTTTCATTAGAGTGTGGCTAATGGGAGTTTGGTCTATATAGTCTTTGTCTGAATGCTTAATAAACATGTTATATTTTCAAAGTGATTTCATTGCTTTAGGTCAGGGGTGGCCAGTCTTGGTGTAATGACCAAGGGCATGGCACAAAGGCAACACAGTCAGATAATCCGTAGGAGTCCTTTTATTAGCTCCAACTTTGCCCCCAATTTCCTGGTTACCTTCTGGCTGGAGAAAAACTCTCCCAGGAACAGCCTTTGACTACAGAGAATCAAGACCAAAACGTGGTCAACAAAAACTGTAACTATAAGTCCAATCAAGGCAAACTGAGGCAATTAGTTCGGCAGGGCAGGAGCAAGAATTCCAGACGTGAAGGCATAGCAATAACTCAGCACAGTTTGGAAGACGCCAGGAACACAGATAATCAAAGTCAACATAAGATAAACTCATGTTTGCTCCCAGCAGCTGCCGCACTCAGCATGCATTTCTCTTAAACTCTCTTCCCAGCTGTGGCTAATGAAGGGAATCAGGGCCCTTTCCTTCCCCGTAAGCCACACAACCCACATTGCTCTCTTCTCTGTTCCTCCCTGTGTGCCCTAGGATGAAGATGGGGTGGGTATGGGTCTTCCTCTGAACTCCCTCTCCCTTGTTCTACCTCTTCCCTGCTCTGCCCAGCCAGACTTTGCCCTTCCCCAGTTTCCTCCACAGCCAACGGAGCCACACTCCCACTCCCTGTCAGCTATTCGTCTTCCTCCTCGGATTCAGACTCCGACAGGGGCATGACACTTGGCAACTTTAAGACTGGTGGACTTCAACCCAGCATGGCTGGCTGGGGAATTTTGGTAGTTGATAGTCTTAAAAGTTGGTAGTTTGGTAGTCTTAAAGTTGCCAAGGTTGGACACCCCTGCTGTAGGTGATCCATGTTCTGTCCACAAAATATCCTACAGCTTTCCTTAAACCTGGCCAAATTCAATGGTTTGTAGGCTCCATGGGGATATCGGATGATAGTTTACTATCTTCCAAAATCATGTCCATCATGTCTCCTAAGGAAGCAACCGTGGAGATGATGTAGTCTTCCTATTCATGTTTAAGAGTGCCCTGAAAGCAACTTATTGGTTCATGTGTTCTACAGAATGCTAGATTAGTTACAACCCTAGTTTGATCTATCAAGGGGCTGGGGTGTAAAAACATATGAAGAACCGTTGCAAGAATTGGGTATGTCTAGTTTAATTAAAAGACAGATGATGGCAGTCTTCCAATATTTGAGGGGCTCTCACAAATAAGAAGAGGTCAACCTTTTCTACAAGGCACCTGAAGGCAGGACTCTCAGCCAGTCCTTGAGCATGGAAGATTTGTCTTTAAATGAATCGAAACACCAACTCCTCTTTAGGACAATGATGGTTTATTCAGCAAACAACAAATACCCTAATCAGGCAAGAATGGCTAAAAACCAGGCAAGGTTAGCGTTGGGTTTGAGTTTGCTCTCTTTCCTTTTATTTATCATTATCATGAGACACACCTCACCACACCCAGGCCTATACGCAGTTCTAGTTCTGGGCCACGCCTAACCTATTATCTCTTTTAACCCTATAACATGTCTACACCCCTAACCTATTCTGACCCTCACTAACTGATCCCCACCTGGAGGCAACTGGTTTTTCCTTGAAGACGTTTTGCTTTTCATCCAAGAAGCTTCTCCAGCTCTTCAAGGAAAAACAGAAAGTCCATTTGTCTCTTCAAAATGCACCTTTGGGACAACCATGATCTGGATGACTGAGAATCTCCATAGACATTGGATGGAAACTAACCAAGGAGAGAAGCAACCTAGAACTAACTAAGGATAAATTTCCTGAAAGTAAGAACAATTAATCAGTGGAACAGCTTGCCTCTAGAAGTTGTGGGTGCCCTATCGCTGGAGGCTTTTAAAAAGAGATTGGACCACCCTTTGCCTGAAATGGTATAGGGCAAAGGTCCCCAAACTTGGCAACTTTAAGACTTGTGGACTTCAGCTGGCTGGAGAATTCTGGGAGTTGAAGTCCACAAGTCTTAAAGTTGCCAAGTTTGGGGACCCCTGGTATAGGGTCTCCCATTGAGCAAGGGGTTGGACTAGAAGATCTCCAAGGTCCCTTTCCAACTCTGTTATTGTCTGAAGTTCTCAAGCCAAGCTTCAGAATGGACCCTTCTCCTATCTAAGATTCCGGCCAATGGAAGCCAAGAATGTTTCTTCTTTCCTCTCCAGTTTTTTCCCATTGGGTGATTTAAGACAATGGGGAAGTTGACCGCAAATCAGGTGGCTCCGTTTGTTTTAGGTGCCCTAGAATGTCCTTGGGTACCGGTTCAAACAATGCAGTTATAAAGCATGGAAAAGAAGCAACAGAAAAAGGATGGAGCTTCGGACAAAAGTTCCAAAGATGTTGGTGCGGAGAAACAAACGGTCCGGAAAGGTAAGTTCAGAGGCATGTTAGAACTGCCAAAATGGCCGTAGTGATTCAAATCCACCCCATTCTGGTCAGTGGTGGGATTCAAAATATTTTTACTACCGGCAAAAAATTGAGTGTGGGGCGGGGGGCGCACAGCACCCCCTGCCCTCCTCTGCCCCCCCCCACCCCTTTTTGCCTCCTGGGCCTCAGGGAAGCCTCCTAGGTGAAGCAGTAGACAGCAAGGGGGATCCCAGCACCGCTGATCATCAGAACAGCTGATCGTCGGGAGGGGGAAAAAAAAAAGAAATACCTTAAGGAGTGACTGGGCGGGGAAGAATGCAGTCAACGATGTCGTACATGCGCGATAAGGACTGACTGGGCGGGAGGCGAGGGGCGGGGCCAGCCAGGGGCACGATTTGCTGATTCTCCGAACTGCGCCGAATCCTAACAACCGGTTCTAAAGAACCGGTCCAAACTGGTAGAATCCTACCTCTGAGAAACACTAAAAGTAGTCCTCGACTTATGACCCCAATTGAGCCCCCAATTTTCTGTTGCTAAGCAAGACAAGTTAATTTTGCCTCATTTTACGACCTTTCCTGCCACGGTTGTTAAGTGAATCATTGTTAAGTTAGTAATGCAATGAGGAAATCTGGCTTCCCCCTTGACTTATCAGAAGGTCGCCAAAGGAGATCACATGACCTCAGGACGCTGCAATCGTCATAAACATGAATCAATGGCCAATAGTTTGAATTTTAGTCCCATGACCATGGAGATGCTGCAAAGTGCGAAAAGCACTCAGAAGACACTTTTATTGGTGCTGTTGTAGCTTTGAACGGTTGCTAAATGAACTGTTGTAAGGCGAGGACTGCCTGCAACTGGCTGACTAGGGAATTCTGGGAGTTGAAGTACTCGTAGCCAAAATGGTGTCCCTTTTTAAAAGTATTGCCAGAGGAACACAACCCAAAAAGATCTGAGGAATTTCAACAGTGATATGGTGGCCTGTCGATTGCCGGCCCCTCCAGCAGCCAAATCAGAGGAGGAGGAGGAGGAAAGGAGGAGGCGGAATGGGAATCAGGATCAGCATCAAGGCAACCTGAGAGCTCCGAGGGGGAAGAGGGAATGGAGCTGGCAGAGAGAGAGAGATGGAGCCTGGGCCATCCTCAGCCCTCAGATGGACAGTCAACAGCCCCCAGGTCTGGAGGTGGCTGATGAGGAAGAGGAGGAACAGCTGGGTCCAGTGCCTGATGTGTGGATGTGCAGAAGGCAGAGGAGAGGAGAGGAGAGCAGTGGAAATCTATAGGCTGGTCCTTGGGATGGAAGCGCCATGCTGCTAGCAAACCCCACCCTAGCTCTGGGGATAAAAGGGTGGAGATGAATCGATGTGGCAGACAACTATTCATCTCCCTACCGGACGGACTTCTTAGCTTGCGGTGAGAGAGAATTTTTTTTGCCGGGGCTGTTGGCGCTCCTAATAAAGGCACAATTGATTTAAACGTTGTTGTTGTTAGTTGCGAAGTCGTGTCCAACCCATCACTACCCCATGGACAATGTTCCTCCAGGCCTTCCTGTCCTCTATCGTCCTCCGGAGTCCATTTAAGCTCACGCCGGCTGCTTCAGTGACTCCATTTAGCCACTTTCTTCTCTGCCATCCCCTTCTTCTTCTTTTGCCCTCAATCTTTCCCAGCATTCGGCTCTTCTCCAGCGAGTCCTTCCTTCTCATGAGGTGGCCAAAGTATTTTGAGTTTCATCTTCAGGATCTGGCCTTCTAAAGAGCAGTCAGGGTTGATCTCCTCTAGGGCTGACCGGTTGGATCGCCTTGCAGCCCAAGGGGCTCACAGGAGTCTTCTCCAGCACCAGAGTTCAAAAGCCTCCATTCTTTGGCACTCAGCCTTTCTTACAGTCCAACTTTCACAGCCACACATTGCAACTGGGAAAACCACAGCCTTGGCACTACGTACTTTTGCTGGCAGGTTGATGTCTCTGCTTTTTAGTGTGCTGTCTAGATTTGCCATAGCTTTCCTCCCCAAGGAGCAAGTGTCTTTTAATTTCTTGGCTGCAGTCCCCATCTGCGGTGATCTTGGAACCCAGGAAAATAAAATCTGTCACTACCTTCATTTCTTCCCCATCTATTTGCCAGGGATTGAGGGAGCCGGATGCCATGATCTTTGCTTTCTTAATGTGGAGTTTCAAGCCAACTTTTGCACTCTCCTTCTTCACCCACATCAAGAGGCTCTTTAGTTCCTCTTCACTTTCTGCCATTCAAGTTGATTCAAATACAGAGGGTTTGTCTTGTTCGGAGAGCTGGGTCAGAACAGGGGACTTTTTTGGAGAGGTAGCACAGCTGATTAATCATGTTTTCATTATTCATTACAACATACTCCAATGAAATTGTGTGTCATGCCCCTGTTGGAGAAGGACTCTGAGGGAAAGGAGGAACAGCCAACAGGGAGTGGAAGTGTGGCTCCGGAGGTTGTGGAGGAGGCCGGCTGGGCAGTCAGAGGAAGACCCAGGCTCATCCCCTCTCCATTCTAGGGCGCACAGGGAGGAGAGGTTAAGGGAGAGACGTGAATGGCGTGGTCTACGGGGGAGGAGAGGGCCTTGATCCTCTTCATGGGCTGCAGCTGTGAGAACTGGTTAAAAGGACAGACGTGCGTATGGACCAGTGTTGGAAACAAAGCATGGAAATATCTCTAGTTGATTGTTCCTCTCTGAGCTTGGCGCCCTTCCCAGTGTGTGTTCCGATATCTATGGACGTCTTCAAGCCCTTATCTTGCCTGGTTCTCTTAATTGCTTCAGTGTAGTTTGTGTTGTTTTTACTCTTTATCATTTATAGGCATTTTTAGTTTAAATGGCGTTTCCTCCTTTTCGTAACTGCTTGTGGGGGAGTTTTTTGTCTCCAGTCAAGGATATTTGGAGCTTTGAAGCAAAGTGAAGGAATAAAAGGGGCTTCACCTGTTTTCGTGACTGTGTTTATTTTGTATCCCATCCTCGGTCATCACACTGTGCCTTTTAAATATAGCGATTGCTTCATGATACAAATGCTTTCAACTTTGCTCTGAGTCTTTATCATATAAGTATAATACAGTAGTAATGATACGTTATAATTGATTATTATAGAAGGAATTATCATATGAATTAGAACTTGTAAAAATTGAAGTTTGCTCAAAAAGAATAATACGAATTTGCAATTAAAGTCTAATGATGATGTAATAATAATATAATATGACATGGAAAGTTGATTAATATAATATGAATATAAATTTAAATTTAAGAGGGAAAGACTATTGATATTGTGCACAAGAAATATGTACCAACCGACACACTGTACAACTGAAAGAAGGTTTTGTTTGTTGTTTTTGTGTTTGTGTTTGTTTATGTTTGTTGTTAAAAATTAAAAAAAAATGGTTAAAAAAACCTTTGCTCTGGGTCTCTCCTTTTTTCTACCTCAGCCATTCAATCAGCTGTTCTGATCCAGCGGTGGTATCGACGCTATGTCGCCCGGCTCGAAATGCGTCGGAGATGCACCTGGCGCATCTTCCAATCCATAGAATATGCAGGAGAACATGATCATATGAAGGTATGGTGGGAGCTGGTGTGTGGATGTCAAGCTTGAAGCTGAACTGGCTGTGGCCGTTTTCTTTTCTGTGGGGGCTTTTGTTTCTATCGGGGTTTCTTTTCATATGGCTTCGGGTTGTCACAGCCTGGAGTTGAAGTGGGGAGGGTAGAGATAGTTGGGGTTTTGTAGCCAAAAGAAAATAACTCTCTTATGAATCAGAGACATTCCAACAGCTGGCTGGCCAGAGGAGGAAGAGAGAAGTCATCAAGCAACCAGCAATTCAAGCAATTCAGATTGGACAGAGTGATTTATTGTTTTGAGAAAACAGCAAACAACTTACTTTTAATGTGGTGGAAAGCGCGGGAATCTTCAGAGTTGGCTTTCCACCAGTTTGTGCCAAGACGACATCTCCTAATAAAGCTGTTCTTTGAGGCACCAACTGGCCTCGGAGTTCTGTAACAGAGTTGGAAGGGATCTTAGAGGTCTTCTAGTCCAACCTCCTACTCAGGTGGAAAACCCTACACCATTCCAGATGAATGGTTGTCTGATCTCTTCTTGTAAACCTCCAATGATGGAGCATTCACAACTTCTGGAGGGAAGTCGTTCCACTGATTAATTGTTCCAACTGTGAGGAAATTTCTCCTTAGTTCTGGCTTGCTTTTCTCCTTGAATTAATTTCCATCCAGTGCTATAGAATAAGAATAAGAATGGAATGGAATGGAATGGAATGGAATGGAATAGAATAGAATAGAATAGAATAGAATAGAATAGAATAGAATAGAATAGAATAGAATAGAATAAGGGATCTTGGAGGTCTTTTATTCTAGTTCTTTGTTCTGTTTTCAGATGCTTTGGAGAATAATAGCTTGACTCCCACTTCTTTGTGGCAGCCCCTCAAATATTGGAGCACTGCTATCATGTCACCCCTAATTCTTCTTTTCTTTAGACTAGACATACCTAGACATAAACTAGATATACTACGCATAGTTGTGGTGAAGGAGGGTAGCCCAGGAGGATAAAAATAAGGAAAAAGAAAAAATGTTTTTCCCCCTCTACGTTTTGACAATATTCTTTTGATCTTCTGCAGCTCAACCATTTCTTTGACTACCTCATAGAGAACGTCACACCCCAAAACACAAAAGACAGTAAGTGTATGTATTGGTTTAGGTATAGGACTACACAGGTTGTCTTCGATTTATGACAATACAGCTCCAAATTTTCATTGCTAAGGAATGCAGTGGTCGAGTTTTGTCTCATGATTTTACAACCTTTTTTTGCCACAGATGTTAAGTGAATCACAGCAGTTGTTAAGTGAATCTTTCGGTCATTAATTGAATCTGGCTTCCCCTCCCCCATTGTTTTTGGTTATCAGAAGCCAGTTGGGAAGTGATCGTATGACCCCGGGACAGTGCAACTTTCATAAATACATGCCAATTTCCAAGCATCTGAATTTTGATCACGTGACCACAGAGATGTAGCAATGGTCATAAGGGTGAAAAGCATCTGTCAAGGCTCCAACATCCACCCCCATTCAAATCATAAGTCTCTAGCCACATCTATCAGAGTAAAAAAAGATTGGTTTATTAGGAATTAACATGTCGGCGTTTCCTGGTTGCAGCCGACTCTGATACATCATCCATTTCACCCTTGACCCCTGGTCTTCCCCCCACCCCCTGGATGTATATTCTCCAATGAGACCCATCCATAGCCAAGAGTCATCAATCATGCTCTCCAGTAATAATCTTGCGTGCCAACAGCTTCGGCTGCCAAGGCGATTATCTGAAGCATTTAAGGAATGCACTGCTTTCCCCCAACTCCCTTTCTGCTGGCAACTAAAAAGACCAAAGGAGTATTTTTTTAGTTGACAGCAGCCATATATGCACGTTTTTTGTGCCATCACAACTTCAAATCATCACTAAGCAAAATGTTGTAAGTCGAGAACTACTTGTAAAGAACTCTTACTTTTGATTCTTAATTTAAGACTACAGAATCTATGTTTCGTCCCATTTTATCTTTCTTGCCACAGTTGCTAAGTGAATTTCTGCCATTGATAAGTTAGTAACCAGGTTGTTAAGTGAATGTGGCTTCCCCACTGACTTTGTTTGTCAGAAAGTTGCAAAAAGTGATCACACGACCTCGGGACCCAGCAACTGTCGTATATATGAATCCGTTGCCAAGCACCTAAATTTTGACCACGTCACATGTCACGTTTTTCAGTGCTGTCTTAACTTCGAACAGTCACTAAATGAACTGTTGTATGTCGAGGACTACCTGTATAGTAGTGGCCACGTTCTTCACTTTTCTGATGCCTGAAAGAAAGGATCATGTGCATAATATCTGAAAATATCTTTCAAATTTTGCTCTATTCTTGCCAAGGGGAGTTCATTAACCGTATCCTGTCAGACTCGGATACCGCGAGGCAGGTCAAACTGGAAAAATCAATGGAGTCTACAGCGGTACCAGCCAGTTACAAAGGGCCTCGCCTTGGTTTCCCCCTGACGCCAGACGATGCGGTAAATGTCCTAGAAGCCTTCAGAAACAATCAAGTAAGTAACTGAAGAACAACCGTCTCAATAGCAGTAGCGCTTAGACATATACCGCTTTATAATGCTTTACAGCCCTCTCTAGGCAGTTTACAGAGTCAGTCTACTGCCCCCAACAATCTGGGTCCTTGTTTTACCCACCTCGGAAGGCTGGAAGGCTGAGTCAACCTTGAGTCTGGTGGGATTCGAACTGCCAAATTGCAGGCAGTCAGCAGAAATAGCCTGCAGTACTGCACTCTAAACACTGCGCCACCACGACTCCTCAAGGGAATGTATCAGAGGTGGTATTCAGCAGTTTTTGACCACTTCTGGAGAACCAGTAGTGGAAATTTTGAGTAGTTTGCAGAACTGGCAAATACCACCTCTGAGTGGCCCCACCAATCCCATCTATTCTCTGCCTCCCATTGAGTCCCAGTTGATTGGCTGGGTTTTCTTTCTGTGCCCTGCACAGGAGAACGAAGCTGGAAAGTAGGTTAGTGAGGTGGGGTGGGAATGGAGATTTTATAGTATTCTTCCCCTGCCACGCCCACCAAGCTACGCCCAGCAAGCCATGCTCACCAAGCCACACCACACCCACCAATCCATGCCCACAGAACTGGTAGTAAAACAATTTGAATCCCACCACTGGAATGTATCAGAGATTCCTAAAAGAGGAGGCAACTATTTACAGTTGTCCTCTACTTACAATCCTTCTGTCAACTGTCCAGTTGGCGAATCCAGAAAAAGAAACTCCTGGGACATTATTTTACCAAGGGTATAAAACTTTACTGAATAAACCACATTGGCACAGAAGAAGCAAAATGTCATGTCCCTGGTGGAGGCTGACTCTGAGGGAGAGGGAGCGGAAGTGTGGCTCTGGAGGTTGTGGAGGAGGCTGGGGAAGGGCAGGACAGTCAGAGGAGGAGCCAGGCCCATCCCCTCTCCATCCTAGGGCATGCAGGGAGGAGAGGATAAGGGAGAGATGTGGTCTACTTGGGAAAAGAGGGCCTTGATCCTCTTCATGGGCTGCAGCTGTGACAACTGAATAAGAATACGGACTTGCGTATGGGCGAACGCTGGAAACAAAGCATGGAAATATCTCTAGTTGGTGGTTCCTCTCTGAGTTTGGCGTCCTTCCCAATGTGTGTTATCTTGGACGTTCTCCAGCCCTTATCTTGCCTGGTTTGTGTTGCTTATTCCCTTCTTCTTGTAACTGTTTGTATGTGGGGGTTTTTTTGGGCTTCTGTCAAGAATATTCAGAGCTTGGAAGCAAAGTGAAGGAATAAAAGGGGCTTCATCTGTTTTCTGTGACAGTATTTGTTTTGTATCCCACCCTGGGTCATCACACAAAACCAGCTCTGTATTTTCCGCCCAAAAGCCAGCATAATTCATTCTCCCTTTCCCTATATGGGCCATCCACAGTCCATTACATCCACCAATCACTTCTGTTCATTTTGTTATGGGAACCAGCCGGCCACGCTGGGACACCTGTTCAGGGTGTCCTTGAGTGGGGAGCAGTGTCTCCCGGGAACCAATGATGCTTGGATGCCATTTCCTTCACCCTTGAATTCGCCACCTCCCTTTGTCAAGCGGTGAGAAGAGCAGAATATCGGCGAAAGTGCGACGCCAGTCTTGACGCCTTTGTTTAATGATCCTTCGAGGTTGCAATGGCACTAAAAAGGTGAGAGGATTCCCCGTGATCATGTGATCAGAATTTGGAAGCTTGATCCTCAACGTGTATTTATGATGGTTGTATAGCATTCTGGAGTTAACGTGGTCGCCATTTGCAACTTTCTCAGCTGCCTTCCCCCAGACGATGGGGGAATTCAGATTCACCTAATGACTGTTGTGGCTAGCCGGCAGCAGGTGCGGACGGCTGAGGAGAGCGAGGACTCAGATGAGG